GATCTCACCTTGCTAATCTGGATCAGCTATAAAGGCAAAGAGAGTCAAATCCTGTCCCTCTATTCTCTCTTCCCTTCAGGAACCTCTCTGATTTCTCCCTCTATTATAGTAAGATTCTATGTTCAGAGTGTTAAACTTTTCTGGAAATGTTATATTCTCTCTGAGGATTTAAGGAATCATTTTAAATCTTCTTTTTCCTCTAAGAAAAGGCCCTTAAATTATTTTCACCCATAGGATTCAAAAGTCAGCTTTTAGATTCAAACTTAATGTATAATGACAAAACAACTGAACTTCTGTCTTTATCATTCTACTGAAATGCATCAAGGTCACCAAGAACCTCCCCCATCAGAGTGGTACATTTGTGACAATTGATGAATCTACTTTGACACATCATGCCAACCAAAATCAATAGCTTATAATGGGTTCATTCTAGGTGTTGTACTTCCTATGGGTTTGGGAAAATTTATAATTATATTTTTTCTCCTTTTATATCATGCAGAATAGTTTCACTGCCCAAAAGATTCACTACACTCCTCCTATTCATCCTTTCCTCACTTCAACTCCTGGCAACCAATAGTCTGTTTACTATCTCCATAGTTTTGGCTTTTCAAGAATATCATAAAGTTGGGATCATACAGTATGTAGCCTTTACAGAATGGTTTCTTTCACTTAGTCATGTGCATTTAAGTTTCTTCCATGTCTTTTTGCAACTTGATGACTCATTTCTTTTTCATACTGAAAAGCATTTCACTGTTTGAGTGTACCACAGTTTATTTATCCATCATCTACTGAAGTTTATCTTGGTTGATTCCAAGTTTTGGCAATTTTATATAAAGCTACTATAAATATCTGCAGGTTTTTCTGTGGACATGTGTTTTCAACTTTTGGGGGTAAATATCAAGGAATGTGATTGCAGAACTGTAGGTAACAGTATGTTTTGTTTATAAGAAACCACCAAACTGTCTTCCAAAGTGGCTGTACCATTTTGCATTTTCACCAGCAATGAGTCAAAGTTTCCTACATTTTCTTCTAGAATTTTTAAGGTTTTATGCCTTACAGTTAAGTCTTTTATACGTCTGGAATTAACTTTTGTATATGGTAAGAGATAGAGGAC